ATTCCATGTCCCATTAGACATTAAAATCGGATACTAATTGCCTAGCTTTTACTTGCCTTATTCTTAATGCAGTTATTGAATTCTAATAAAGAACTTCCAGCTTTGTGCTATAACGTAGCAGTCCATAAAATTGCATTTCCATTTACCTTTCACCTAGCACTATGCTCTGTAGTACAAGAGAAACCACTTTGTTACCTGACAGTAATACATCGTTCTCCCTTCTTGGAGGCAACTTTTGAACAAGAGCAACTTATTTAAGTATACAGCTTAAGATGTCAGTAGAGGAGAAAGGAAACAGTGTCTGCATAACCTACAGCTGTGCATTCACCTAAATTAAGTAGTAAGTCTCAGGAGGCATTGCTGTACCACTCAGACTGACCTGCGGCCCCCCAGGCCAACGTGACTCATGGCAATCATAGATTCAAAACTAAGACACGCACAACAGAAAGCAGACATTTGTTTTCCCTTCTTACCTAAGATGAAACTGACTCAGCTTCAGTAAGCATGATCTCTGTGTCACCCTGCAGCTTCAAATCAGTACGACTGGTGTTACATCTGTCAGCAAGTTCTGCATGACTGTGTAGTTCAATAAGAATCTGACTAATAGATCATGCCATCCTGTCTCAACAGAGGCTTTAGAGATCTCTCAGTAGGCCGCTTTAATTGCGACTGCAAGCTCCTAGACATCTAATAAACTTGACTTGACATGACACAGATAACAAGAAGTTACACAGCCAACACAGTGAGAACAGCAGGATTTTGTTCCAGCTGTTCATGAGAACCTTGCCTGCCCCACAGCAAAACCTTGTTAACTGTGTGCTCTCACTACTACCCTGGGAAAATAAAGCATCTGCACCATCACATCAATTTGTGCACACTATCCATGTTTCTAGGTGTGTCATCACACTTTTCTCATACTGCAGGATCAAACAGATCTCATTCAAAACATCTAAAGGTCTCACACCTGTCCTTATAAAGAAGAACAAGTTTGATAATTAAAATTAATAAAATTAATCATTCTTGCTACTTTAAGTTGGTCCAAGTGTAATTATTTATTTATTGAGATGAGAGTTGAAGGGGTGGTGAAGAAGGAAAAAAAAGTAACCAACCTCAGCAAAGCTCCACAAGCTGTGCACTTCAAACATCACTGGTCACCAAAATCCTACAAACACTGGCTGTGTAAACTGCCCAAACTTCAGAAAGTTCAAGCCTTACTTTAACCTAGAAACTTCTTCCTGCTTCAGGGAATGCAAAGATTATATGGCCTGAGAGGAGCAAACTCAAGCATATACATGCAAGCTAGAGTTCAAGTAGTAGCCTTTTTCCTTTGAGCAACTACAGTAAGGTTTTTGCTACGTCTTGGAGGGTCTTTTTCTATTCTAACTTAGAAACACTGCTGGTATTGGGTGATCCTCTGCTGTGTGCTGCAGGTAGCATGGAAAACAAACTGTAACTCAGCTGCTCGAAGCACTGCTCTAAGAACAGTTAAACAAGTGAAAAAAGCAATTTGGGCTACAGGTTACTGATGAAAAAAAAGAAAAAAACAATTTTAAAAAGAACTTGCTCTCTCCACTTGAAAGAAACTGAAATGAATTTCAGAATACACGTCTTAAAACCTTGAAACTGCCAGCAGTATCACTGAGCATATAGAATATATAGAATATAAACAACTGCATGCCCATCTAGCCTTCCTCAGGGAGAAAATACATCACACTCAGCTGTGACTTGAGTATTTGATTGCTGCATAATATCCAGCAATTGCTACAGATGTTCCCACGTGCATTTAACAACAAAATCAATATCATGTCAAATAGCCCATCATTATGGAGCTACAATGACAGATTTTCCTTTCTTTCAAGTAGTTGTAAGGGCACTATAATACAAATCATTAGGCAAGCCATAGAAGTGCAAGTTTCTAGACACTCGTTGGCTATTTTCTTTGGAATCCTTTTGAACTAGAGACAACCAAAAGCATAAAGGGGCTGTGAGCAACCTGGTCTAGAAGGAGGTGTCCCCCTTCCAACGCAAACCATTTTATGATTCTATAAGAAATCAAATACTGCCCACTGCAAATAGCCTGGTAGATCTTCAAGAATTTCTCCATGAAAAAAAAAAAAAAAAAAAAAGCCCAAGAACCCTAATCTCAATACACCCAACACCCCCCCTTCCACTGCTAAGAACCCTAAAGGCCGCGTTACATCAGAAACATCACATTCAGTTATCTGCATGTGTTACCCTCACAGACTTCCTAAATACAAGGCTGGTGGATCTACCACATCTGCTTCTTTGTTCCTACCATGTCAGCCTCCTTCTCTGGCTACATTACTCACTCAGGCTCAAAGCTGAACTCAGCAACAGCAGCCTACAATTTATTTCCTCCAAACCCTAATAAGTTTTAATGGCAGATTCAACCGTGCTTATTCTAGTGCAGCCCCTACATTTAATCACAGAAAACATTGCTATCACCAATTTATTTAGCTGCTATCCAAATAAACAAACCCACTTTCTCAAATAAAGTTTAGATCACTATCAGCCATAATAAATCTTTGGTCACTGACTGCAAGATGCATTGAGAGCTGCCCAAGAAAAAAGACACCTTTCCTGCCCCTACAAAAAAAAAAAAAAAAAAAAAAAAAACAACCAAACAAACAAAAAACCAAAAACCACCAAAGCAAAAAACAACAAAAAAGCCCATCAACAAATAAGCAAACAAAGCACCACAAAAACCAAATTCTATAAGCCAACCAAAACACAAAACCACACAGTCAATATACCTTCTGTAGAGCACAGACAGCCCTTGCCAGACATCAAACTCCATTTCTAGATCACATTTATTCATAAAAACCTATTAAAAGACACCCTAAAGAAAAGTGACTTATCCTTTAAAAAAAAAAAAAAAAAAATCCTCACAGGGTTTTCAGAAAAATTACATAGATTAAAAAATAACCCCATTAAGATCTGTAAGGAGAGTTGCTCTTAATTAGCAAATAGAAAAAAAAATGATGCAAGGATCAAGTACATGTACATAATATAGCCATTAAAATCAAAAGGAAAAAACAACAACTTAAGAACTACAGTTTCCTTCCAACCTTCATACAAGTAGGAGCTTTCTGCCCAAAACCTAAATTTCACCACAAAAACACTGAAATAGCACTCTGCAGCGCAATACTCTCTGTTTAAAATGTTTTTGTTAGTGGAGGTGTTGGCTATCAGTCACCACATTTCCAGTATAACCCCCCCAAACAGGAAGCCCGTAGTAGCACTGGATCATCCTTCACATGGCTTGGTAGCACTTACTAGCAATGAAGGTCAGTGATGTGCAAGGCAGCAATACCAGCACCTCACTGCTTACCCCCTACCAGGCCACCACCGTGTCAGCCTGTATGGAAGCTTTATCTTGGAACCACACAAGCTTTAATTGATTAATATGATTAATTAATGTGATTAATATGGCTCTGAAGAAGCAACTAATAATTAACAGCAATGAAATATGTTGTCCGCTGTGGATAATCATTCTGCCAATAACACATCGAATGAGAACTGCTCAGTGAACCTAGCTCTGCTATGTATCATTGATATATATATGCAACTGAAAACAAGAAAAACTACACATGCAAACACCACAATAATGAGAACTGTACTTTCCCAGCCCATTCCCAAGTAGATCTCTGCCTATAAGCACTGCTGGTTTACTACAAGTTACTTTGATCCTTTCCAGTGACAACTGACCCAAACAAGCTGATGACCAGTCTTTTTATTCTATCTTTTGGCCAAGTTCAAAGCAAAATTAAAAACTCCAGTGTTCATTTCTAATTCGGACAAAACCAAACAACAATCTTCAGTATCTTCTACTTATTGCCATCAGCAGCAGTGCCAGCTCGGATGAAGCTGCAGACTCTTCCAACTTTTTTATTTCAACCCAGGTGCACGCATTGCATGCTATCAGCCTTCTATTCTTTGCTGGATTTTCTGTCCAATTTCAAACCACCACTGCTTAGAGAGGCACATGAGTGGCTTCTATTGTTAAAGGGTATAAACTATAACTCAAGCAAGATCACCGTAGCTTTTTCTTCCACCTTACAGAAAGGAGTGTTTTTCTATTTGATCTCTGGTTTAACAGAGCTGGGGTCAGTTAGAACTTCACAGAGTTGTCTGGAAAGAACCTTTAAAGGCCATTCAGTGCAACCCCGAGGTGAACAGGGACACCACAGCCAGGTCAGGTGCTCACAGCCCCATCCAGCCTGACCGTGGGCATCTGCAGGGCTGGGGCCCCAACACCCCCTGGACAAAACCTGCTCTCCTTCCTCTCGGCCCCAGAGTCCCACGTTTACTAACGAAAACTCTTTTCCCCACTGGCTAACCTTCTCTCTCAAAACACTCATCTGTCCTCCTGCCTTGCCCTATCAGAAGGCATGCTGCATACACAGTGATCGCTCCGCAGGCTATGGGATGGAGCTGTATCTCGAACCAAGAGAGAGCTCTGCTCTGCTTTCGTACCTCCTTCAGAGCTGCCACCGACCTCGCACTCCATCAATCAGGTGAGAGTCGGGTCTGGGACTGTGTGAAAACTTACGAGTCGCTCACACGGCCACTACAGACGGTACGAACTCAGATGGCCCAGCGCTCAGCCGTACCGTACAACAACCAGCACAGCACTTTACCAAACACCGATGTTTATAACCGCATTCTTCCAGAGCGAGGTGCGGTCTCACACCCTCAAACGCCGAACGAACCGAACCAAGTCACGTCTCCATAGCAGCCCGGCGCTACGGGGAACGGCGGTCAGCGAGCGCAGCGCGAGACTCGGGGCGGGCGCGGACACCGACCTGCCACCGCCTGCCACCCCGCTCAGCCCCAGCGGTCCGGGACGAGTCAGGGCAGGAGGACGGCCGAGCCCCGCCGCGAGCAGGGCGGAGGCGAGAGACCGCCAGAGCGCCGCCCAGCGCGTTGGGCGACCGCCGCCGAGGCCGCCCCGCTCGCCTCACCTGCCGCAGCCTCACCTTCCTTCCTGCTGAGCGCCATGGCCCAGCACGGCCCGACCTAACCGCACAGTCAGCCGGCCCGCGCCCGTCCTCCTTCCTGTTCCCCGCCGCACCCGTCCGTCAAGAGCTCGGGGTCTCTCCATTGGCTGGCACGGCGGCGGGGGGCGTGCCCTCCTCTCGTGGCCCCTCCCTCCCCCCCTTCCCTGCACCGTCTGCCGGCTCCGGTAGGGGGCGCGCGGCCGCGCAGAGCCGCCGGGGGCGCGCGCGGCGGCGGGATGCTGGGCGTAGGGCGCTGCTGCCGCTGCCGGCCGCGCTCTCCCCGACCCTGAGCCGGCGGCGCCGCCGCGCCCAGCCCGCACCTGCCCGGTGAATAATGCACTAGAATGTCAGCGCTGAGAAAGGTAGGTGGGCGGCGGGGGCCGCCGTCGGGGCGCCGCTGACTGAGGGAAGGGGGCGACGGCACCGCGGGGTCCGGGCGCTGCACTCGGGGCCGGGGGGCGTCGGGCGGGAGGTAAGGCGCGGGGCCGGGCGCTCGGCGGCCGTCGGCAGGACGGGGGTGCGGGCAGCGCGCGACCCATGAGGAGACGCCGGCGGGCTCCGTCCCGCCCGCAGCCCGGTTCGGGCGGCCGTGCCCCACTTCTGGCAGAGGTATCGAAGTGCCGCGGCCTCGACTTGCCGAACTTCCAGCGGCTCGGCGTCCTCGGCGACGAGCCCGAGGTGCCCCGTTTGGGCCGCTGCAAGAACCGCGGGCAGCGGCGGCCGCGGGCAGCGGAGCTGCGGCGTGTGCTCGGCTGCGAGCTGAGCGCCGCGCGCTGCGGCTCGGGGGGCGGCGCGGGAGGGAACGGCTGGCGCGGGGCCGCTGTGGAAAAGTGGCTGTCGTGCCGGGCAGGTGATGTTCCGTAACGCGAGTGGACCCGGGGTGCTGTGCTGCCGCACCTGCGCTCGGCTTCGCTTCTGTCTCTGCGTGGTGTCGGAAGAAATAGGTAAAAGAAGGAAGAGTGAAACTTTTGTACCGCCGCGCTTTCAGCTCTGCAGCAATCCCGTTTTCTAAAAAAAACCCCGTTTCTAAATGAACCTCGCGAAGAATTTTCTTTCGGCGTTACAAGCTTTAATATCACTGCGTGCGGCTTTTCTTACAAGGCTGGCCGGCTGTTAGCATTTGTATTTAACGCGCTGCCGCCGTGCCTTCCGCTCCTCGTCCCCCCCGACTCATTTCGTGTCTTTTCAAGACGTTCACTATGTGGTTAAAATGAATTCCGAGCGTGTACAATGGTTTTATGAATTACGATGTTATTAAGCATTGGAGAGTTAATTCTGGGTGCTGCAGTCAGACCCTGTGTGATCCAACATAATATCCTGAAGTTAAATAATGCACGTATTGTGCTGCCGTTCAGTTAAATGTGAAGTGAAAACTGTGACTGTCAAATAAATTCGTTGGTTCTGTTATAGATTATTTTTAGCTTTTCATTTTAGTGCTATTAGTGGTATTAATATCTGGCTATACACTTAGCTACATGCCCTGAAAGCAGTGCTGGGCATAGATTGCTCTTTGTTAACTTTTTAGAATTTGAAGTCCTTGTGCAATTTTTAAGTTTCTCTGGTACAAAGTGAAGATATGCTTAAAGCAAAACCCTAAGGGCTGCAAAGGAGCCCTCAATAGGCAGCCTGCCCAGCGGAGGTGCTGGGAGAATCTGCGCAGTCTGTGCAACAGACCGAGCTGCACAGATGAGCCCAAGGCTCCCACATGGGTGCTGGTTCCCCAGTGCTGAGCAGGAGTTTGTGTCAGTGTGGGGGAAAGGCTCGTCAGTATCAGCAGTGATGCTGTGGGCTATGCTGGGCTGTCACAAGCTGCCAAGCCAAGACAGAAATTACACGCGTGGAAGTCCATTGTGACCAGCTAATAATTATTTCTAGTCAGTTCAAAAATGTAAAGTAAGCTCTCACTGAACAAGTGTGCTGGCTTTAAGGAGCAATGCATTCCTAAATGAGGTGGGCTGTCACACCTGAGCCTGAGAGCAGCAGGAGACTTCCATCCCCTCTGAGTGCAGTCTGTGGCCAAGGGTACAGTCCTGATAGGGAATATTCTTGGGCAATGTAATGACTGCTTTCAGCCTGACTGGGAGCATTGTCTGGCTAAATTATTAACATAGGAATAGTCACTGGCATAGTTTGGGCTTTGACTAAGGTGTCAAAGCAATATTTCACACCTGCCTCTAGTAGGCAGGAACTTGTTTTCCTGTTTGCAATTACACATAGTCAAAGCAATTTTCCTGCGTAGCTATGATAGTCCTATGAGTAGTTTTGTAATAAAAAGAACATTGAAATAAAGACTTGTTTTTTCTGAAGTGCACCATCAGGGGGCTCTTTCAAACTGTATCAGTCAAACAAAAACAGCTGTTTCAGTTCTACTGTGTGAACAAGACAATTGTTATTAGCTGCTCCAGCTTACCACCAAGTGAAGCAGTTTGTCTAAGCAGGCTTTGGAAACGGGGCAGCCAATAGTGCTGAAACGTAGCGTTAACTCGTCGGTAATGATGGAATTGAAGAGAGACTTGCACTTGTTAGAAATATGCTGTATGGGCCAGAATGTCCCACCTGATGGTGAACTATTCTGTTTGATGAATGGGTAGTTTTGTTTGGATAACTAGGGAAAGAAATTAAATGTAGTTTAGTTTGCCTTATGAAAATTCATAGTCATCCACGAACCATATGGCTTTCCTACCCCTAGTAGGGAAATGTATCTATGCATGGCAGAAAGAGTGTGTCAACAGCTATGATCAAATATAAGTAGAAGTGGGCAGGAATGATTCAGAATCTCTTTTAAAGTAGACCTGAGACTACAACTTCTCATATTTCAGCCCATATATTCTCCATTATAGAATTATACTTCCCGAAACAGATTATAGTTCATCACAGCTACTTTCTGCTGCAGAGGCCAAAATGATTCATTAGAGTAAGTACTGTTCCTTTTACTTTTTTTTTTTTTTTAAAGGAAATGTCAAGTGGTAGTTTATTCATTTGGTGCACGCTCAGTTGTGATAAGAGGAAGGGAATCACTGCAGTCAGATTTCTCAGTCAGTGCTTCTACATACTTGGTCTCACTTTATTCTTTCCTGTTTATCATTTTGATTTTTTTCTGTGCACAAGCAAGGGCATTTATCTTCTCTTCGTTTTCCTTGCTTGCTCTTCGTATTTCTCTGTCCTTGCCAGTTTTGAAAATTGAACAGATAGCTTCCAGTATGACTTTTACCCTTAGCCCTCAAATTTGTTTATTTATTAATTTTATAACCATTTATTCTTATAATCTTGAAAAGTTTCCTTTCCTTACAGTGTATGTGTATGGTAGTATGTATTTGGCACTAAATGTACGAGGCATAATATAGAGGAGGGCTTTTTTTTCTCACAAGTACCTGTTGTCATTCAGTAGATGTACTTAGTGCTATATGTAGACGCATTGATGGTAATATAACAGAACAAAAATACAGTGAAAGACATACATAAATCCAAGAAGGCAATATCAGTAATTTAGAGACTCGGAATTAATATAATGCACAAATAGTACAAGGAGTAGTATACAGCAGAGCTTTTTATCTTTACCTCCCCATCGTCCTTCGTAGCTGCTCCTTTTCCACCCAAAGTCCTTCCTCTGCTCTTAATCTTGTATCCCCATGTTGAATGTTCTCTTGAAAATTCAATTTGCTTTGTCAAAGAAAACCATCCTAGGTTTGTCACATCTACTGAGCTCTGTCTTGCAACGACAAATTTTATTCTAGCAAATGTAAAGGTTAAGTCTTGATAATAAAATCACAAAGATAGAGAAGGAAAGTGGAAGATGAAGGAGCTGAGAATTAGGATTGGACACCAGGTGCTGGTGGGGTTGTCACTGAAGGTGTCTGTCATCCATAGTTCATCCTGGAGGTGGAAAAGCCTCCAGATGAAGCCTTCCTCAGAAAGGTCCGGCTGCCTTTCTGAGCGAATAACCGTGCTGTGTTGCCCTGGAGAGGAAATGGGTCAGTACTGAGAGCAGCAACTCAAAACATTTTTTATTTTTCTTTTTTGTGCTGCTTCCTAATTATCCTTCTGATCTTTTAATTTAGGCAACAGTGTGTTTTTTAATAATCTCTAAGGTGTGGGTGAGAATACAAAGTAATTGTTTAAGCTTGCCTGGAATCTAATTGCCCTTAGCATTCATGGGGTTTTTTAATATGTTGGCTTCTTATGAGACTTATTTTTCGTAGTGGAGGTCACCTGAATTAGTTTTCTCTGATTCTTTACTTCTCAACAGCATGACTTGCACTGTAAAAAAATTTAATGCCTTCATGATAATATGAAAATGGTGTATAATGAAATAAAAGTCTTCGGCAATTCTGATAGTCTCACAGTTGGACAGGTGGGTGACTTTCCATGGAAACTATATGCAGCCTTATTAACAGCACAGCTAATCGACGTGGCCTTTAAGGAAACTGCCCAAATCATTTCACTTTGCACTGCCATTTTGGGAGCTCATGCAGCTGTGGGGTACAGGAGTGTGTTACGGTGCTGCTGGGTGTTTTGCTGGCAGCCAAGAGTAGGAGGAACTTCCCCGCTTTCACACCTTCCTTCTAGTTTCACATATAGCCCATAAAAATAACACAGAGCAAATGGCTTCAATGGCCACAAGTGGGAGGTTATTTTTGAGCTTTTTTTTCCTCCCGAATGGCAAACAGTAGGGAGGGAGTCTTATGATATTACTATTCCTTCTATTTTTCTAGAGTAATCTATAAAAGTGGGGGGAAGGACAAAAGAAAAAACAGAGGATCTTTCACGCACACATTCCTATCGATTTGTGGCTTCATAAGACATTGGAATATGAAGCTACAGAGAATAAATGCTCTTACTCAATCGAATTTGTGCAAACCGAGCCCAGGTAAGACAAAAGACACTTTGGCTTCATTCGTGTGGAGTGAGATTCTCTCTAAGAGAACCAGCACCAGGCCCACCTTGCGTCCTCTGCACCATTGCACTTTTCACTCAAAATGAACACATAAATTCTTGAATTTCAGATGGGTAGCAGTTATCCTCCCTGATGAGAAGAAAGGAGGATGTAGTTTGCCTTTCTTCCTTTGAT